CCCCCCCCCCCCCCGGGCTCTGCCATGGGCCCACTGTGCCCTTCTCCACAGAGCGCCTCAGCCTCCGCCCACTGAAACCCACCCCGCATGGAGAACCCTGGCCCAGGCCCTCTGTGCCACCCCCCAGTGAGCCTGGTCGGGGCTGCCTGCATGCCAAGTGTAAAGCCCTGTTCCTTCTGAGCCCAGAGACGACTGAGGGAATGGGGCTGAAAACACTGACCCGCCCAGCAGCGGTGCCAAACTGCTGAGATGCCAGCAGAGTTGAGCAGAGGCTGGTGCCCTTTTGGGCAGTGGGAAGGGGAGGGGTGTCAGGGTGCTGGCACTGTGGGATGGAGTCATTCTTATGCCCATTCCCAAGGGCAAGTCATGCCTGACCACTCGGATTGCCTTCTAGCACAAACCAACTGGCTCTATGCCTATGGGGGACTGGTGTGCGTGAGACCTTGACTTTAGCAAAACTTTTTATACGGTTGGGACAGGTCGTGACCCCTTTGGGAGTGTCACCCCCACTGAGGCTGCTTTCCCTGACAGCCTGGGCACCCTGTAACACCGTCTTGCTGCCCTCGGTTCTTCAGCCTGCCTCCACCCAGACGCAGCGACAGGGCCATACCCCAAGGCTGCAGACACAAACTGAAAGCAGCACAGTGAGAGACCCGTATCATCGGCCTCAGTGGGCCGTGATCAATGGCTCAATAGCTAGTTTTCACCTGGTATCAAGTGGAGTGCCCTTGGGGTCAGTTTGGGGTTGGTGTTCCCAGTGGGGCAGGTGGCAGAACGAGGAGCCGTGGTCTCACGTTACAGTGGGGGAGGTCTAGGTGGGATATTAGGAAAAACGATTTCCCTAGGAGGGTGGGAAGCGCTGGGCTGGGGTCCCTGGGGGGGGGGGAGGAATCTCCATCCCTAGCGGGTTTTAAGGCCTGGCTTGACACAGTCCTGGCTGGGATGATTGAGTCAGGGGTGGTCCTGCCTTGGGCAGGGGGCTGGACTAGTCTCTTCTAGCCCGTACGGTCTGTGAGTCATTGGCTCTACACTCGCTGCACCCTAATTTAAGGGCAAATGGAACTGACCAGCTCTGTGCTCTGTCTGGGGTTCTAGTTTGGCCTGCCAGGCCCACCAGGTCCCCCTGGCCCTCAAGGGCCTCCGGGAGCTCTGGTGACACCAGAAGACTTGCTGAAGGACTTCCGGCTGCTGCTGAAAGGTATGGTGTGAAAGTGAGTGCCTGGGCTGAGTGCATCTCCACAGCCACGGCCTGCTGGGCTGGAGAACTGGGTGCCCCATGCTGTAGGGCGTGTAACGCCGAAGGGGCAAGAGCTTATGTCCTACTGGGGGGAGAGGTCACGTTGTGATCCTGATCTTCCCCCTCGGGGGGAACGGTAAGGACAGTGCGTGACTGCTGTCTGGTGCATGTGGGCAGGAAGTTGGCATGCAGTGCTGCGTAGCGTGCCTGCCCAGCCACCGGCACCAGAGCAGGGCAGAAAGGGGGGATGTGCTCAGCCAGACAAACTCCAGCCCCAGGAGCAATGTGTGTGTTCAGTGTGTTGGTGACTTCAGCACAATTTTCCAGCACGGAGTTTTATACCCCCACAAAGTGTGCATCAGGATCTGACTAGCTCACACCTCAAACATACACATCCTCCATCACAAATAATAGTTGCTAGCACATCTTGGTGATGAGCTATGTGCGTGTGTGCTCGCGAAGAGATTCTAGCCCAGGGTTCATCAACACGTGGCCCGTGGGCCACAGGCTGCCTGCTTGGTTGCGGCTGCAGTTTGGGTTACTGTGTGGTTTGGGTTGATGTGTTTTAGTAGTTAAATTCCTGGACTGTTGTGAAGCCAAAACAAAAAAGGCCTCAGTAGAATGGGCTTCTGTCGAGATGCGTTTTAGTAGTTAAAGTCCTGGCCTGTGCTCATTCAAAGGGCGCTCATAGGGGTGGCAGTCGGGTAAATATTACATTGTATTAACAGCAGAACTGACCGAAATGGGGCCTGTGCTGTGTAATCCTGCCTTAATCTTTGTGTTCATGCCCGTCAGTCTGACAGAGATGCTATTCACACAGCCCGTCAGTCTGACAGAGATGCTATTCACACAGCCCGTCAGTCTGACGGAGATGCTATTCACACAGCCCGTCAGTCTGACGGAGATGCTATTCACACAGCCCGTCAGTCTGACGGAGATGCTATTCACACAGCCCGTCAGTCTGACGGAGATGCTATTCACACAGCCCGTCAGTCTGACGGAGATGCTATTCACACAGCCCGTCAGTCTGACGGAGATGCTATTCACACAGCCCGTCAGTCTGACGGAGATGCTATTCACACAGCCCGTCAGTCTGACGGAGATGCTATTCACACAGCCCGTCAGTCTGACGGAGATGCTATTCACACAGCCCGTCAGTCTGACGGAGATGCTATTCACACAGCCCGTCAGTCTGACGGAGATGCTATTCACACAGCCCGTCAGTCTGACGGAGATGCTATTCACACAGCCCGTCAGTCTGACGGAGATGCTATTCACATATATATTTGCACGTCTATGCACCCACACGTAAGTTGCAGCCCTCGGCATGTGCTGTGGGTATCATTGTGGCCCCCGGGCTTCCAAAGTTGAGTAGCCCTGGTCTAGCCCCAAATCCAACCCCTGTTGCGGTCTTTGGAGAGTCTCCCTGACTGCTGTGGTAGGTGTGTACTTGTGCATCACACACTCATTCCCTGTTTAATCTCCAACACCTCAGAGTTTTTTGGCTCAATCCTCAGAAATCAAATTGATCTACAATTAGGACCCCCAAAAAACTAATATCCCGGTCCTAGTTTCAACGCGGCAATGAAAACCAAGGGGCACATTCTCCACCAAACATCACTGCTGCTTAAAATGACCAGACAGAACATTTGTCGGGATCGCGCTCATGAAGGTGGGATGACTGAGTCTCACCTAACAGTGCCAGCTGGCTGGGCTTTGACTAGCATTCACACAGGGTTCACCCTGCTTCCATTGACATCAGTGGGAGCATTGGTTGTAAAAACCCTTTGTAAATCGGTGACTCCTAAAAGTGGTTCTCGTGTGGGGGTGTGCAATGTGTGGGGGTGTGTTTCCTCTCAGAGGCAGTAAAGGAGCGGGAGAGGATGAGCCTGGAAGCTTGCCAGGAAGGTGAGGAGGAGAGAGGAGAAGATGACATCCTGGCACTTGTTGCTGGTTCGTTGGCAAAGAGGCAGCCACAACATCGAGTGGAAGCAGCCTTCCACTGCCGGATACTGAGAAACCTGCCCATTGACCGGAGATCCCTGCAAGAGCTTCGCATCTATTACATAGTGAGTGGGGAGGGAGTGTGCCATGTGGCCTGGCAAAAGGCAGGCTCAGCATCATTGAGATGTTTTCCACATTTGCGCTGACTTTGCCAAATTGTTTTGGTCAAAAAAACAGTGTCCAAAACTTGGCATTTTCTAAACGAAACATTTTAAAATTTTCATTCAAAACAACTTTTTGTTTCAAAATGTCCTTTAACTTTATCTTAAAAGACTAATAAAAATGTTTAAAAATGACAAAGTGAAATATTTCAGTTTTGCCCACATGAAATATTTTGTTTGATGATGTGAAGCAATTTCTTTTAGACATTTTGATTTGCTGAAAATATTATTTTTGGTTCAGTTTGAAATTATTCCCCCCGCAATTTAGGAGAATTGCTAAAAAAAAAGAATTCATTCCCAGAGCTATATTTCCAGCATCTGAGCTCTCAGAGTGAGGTGAATAGAACTTCGATCCAACCTCCATGGAAGTCTATGCAGAAATTCTCATTGACTTCAGTGGCCATTGGATTGGGTCTTAACCTCTCAAATGCCCCTGCAATTTGTGCCATACTATAGGGCTATGTCTACACTGCAGGCTTCTTGCACAACAACTTTTTTGCGCACGAGTTTCTGCACAAAAATTCTTGCGCAAGAGTGCATCCACACTGGCATGTGCTTTTGCACTAGAGTCCATGGCAGTGCGGACACGCTCTTGTGCAAGAAAGCTCTGATGGCCATTTTAGCCATAGGGGTTTCTTGCGCAAAAAACGTCTGTTGCCGTCCACACTGCCTTCTTGCGCAAGAGGGCTTATTCCTTGTGGGGAGAGGAATAACTCTTGAACAAGAAGCCCTCTTTTCCAATGCTTTACTGTAAATTTACTTGTGCAAGAATGCGCGTGCAGTGTAGACGCTCCACAAGTTTTTGCACAAGAACGACTGTTCTTGCGCAAAAAGCCTGCAGTGTAGACGTAGCCTAAGAGTGTGCGCCAGGCATCCAAGGGGGAGAGGAGAGGTACTTCCACTCAGCCTCCTAGCCAACTGCAGATCAATTAAAATCCCCAGACAAATATTTGTTTATCAATGAGTATGTACCAGTAACTTAGTATACAAAAATATTACAGGGATGGTCTAATTAGCCCCGAAATAAAGCTTTCCCAACCAGCAAATTCAGAGCTAAGATTAAAAATACATGAAATCTAGATAAGGTAGAACCTCAGGCATGGCAGTTATTTGTAACTCTGATCAAAATTTGACTTTTTTTAAAAATGTACAACATCCCATGGACTTAGCACAGCTTGGAAACTTAACTATGCAGAAGGAAAATGCTTTTCACCATCTTAACTTACACGACACAAGCACAGAAACAGTTTCCATGCCTCATCAAATCATTTTTAAAATCGTCGTCAGATCTTTCCCCCTTTTTAAACACAGAACTCTACTAGATTTGCTTTTTGGGGGGGTGGGAATGTCAAAACCTGGACAGCTGGCAATCCTCGCTTTCGAGAGTCTTTCTGGCTTGCGGGCATTATGGGATGGATAATTCTGAGTGCCAAACACATTTGAAAACAATCTCAGATACTCTGGGAACCAGGAAACACGACAAATGTGCCAATACATTGCTAGCCCTGGCCTGCACTCAGGGGACTGACAGGAGTGCTGGGCCTCGGGGCGACCCGGTATAGCTCTGTGCTCCCGGATGGGGCTGGTACCGCTAGCTCTCGGAGCCCAGAGCCGAGGCTCGGCAGTGCACACCCTGCGCTCGTGGCAGCTTGAAAGGGCTGTCACAATAGCAACGGCGGTGGCCAGGAGCCTCGGCCCCTTTAGAATCACCAGGGCCCAGGGCAATGCCCCTGCTCCGGTCTGTCATTTTACCGGTATAGCCATGGCAGCGAGAGGCTGAGTGTCCACAGCTGCAGTCTGGGTGCTGCGACCACCGTGTGTACTGCTGCAGAAACAGGCCCGTCAGCTGAGTGCCCACTGCAATAGGCAGAGCTGGCTTGGTGTCTCCCAGCATGCCCAGTTGTGACTTTCTCTGTTACTAGCCTCAGAAAGAAGGAGTGTTCTACCGAGGCCTGGGGCTGAACCTCACCAGTGGCCAATATACTGCGCCTGTCACGGGCTACTACACCTTCACCGCCACCTTGCACATCGGTAAGCTTCCCTATGGGCCTTCACAGCGTGGTGCTGCTGTTGAATCCTCCAGGACTCTGTGGACCACAATTCGTGCTGGTGGGAAGCAGCATAGCTCCAGTGCAGTTACTGAGCTTCCTCCCACTGGAGCTGAGGCCCAGAACCTCAAAGGTACAATCAGCCTAGTTCCACTGGAGTCGGTGTACAGTGGGTGTGCCTTGGTGCAGTCCCACTGATGACCACGTATCTACCCCAGCTATAGCCCAGACGCAGCTAACTGATCAGAACGTTCTGACTGGCGAGCTCTGTGAGCGTGTCTAGCCGCCCCAGAGGCTGAGGCCTAAGGCTGTCCCTTTACAGGGGTTCTGTTCAGAAGGGGAGAACAGCGTGTCCCTGTCTGATTCACTCTTCTGCATTTCTAGTTCACAGAGAACAACAGAGGAAGGGGCCCCAGCGTGCAAGAGATCGCCTGCGGGTACTGATCTGTGTCCAGTCGCTGTGTCAGCGCAACGTGTGAGTGCACCTAGTAGAGGCATGCTCTCCCTGCTAGCGCAGCCAGACAGGTTTTACAGGGAACAGACGTTTTTCTCTGTCCATGTCTGGAAGAAGAGTGCACGTAAAGCAGGGGCTCACAGTGCCCTGGTGCCTAGGGCCAGGCCTCACTGTGGCTGATAGGACCTGGTGGAAAATTCTCTATGTCGGGGAAATTCCAGGTGGCCTGATCCTCTGTAGCAGCTTCCACATCATCCCCGTTCCCAGCCCAGCAAGTGAAATGTTTCAATAATTAAGGGAGTGGGGGAGGGGGGAGCGGAATTTTCATTCCATGGGAAATTTCAGCTTTTTCTTCTATTTCAGAATGAAATGTTTAAAAAAAAAATCAGAATGTCCTTAGGAATAGAAATGCCAATTTCAATCTGCTCTAATCACACCCATGGTCTGTGGGCCAGATTCATAGCGAGGTTATGGGCTTGTCTACACGAGGACCTTAGAGGAAGGTGCCTCAGAATGAACTTTTAATGTGGTGTCTCCTGTCAGGGCAGGTAATCTACCTCCCTACAGGGCAGTAGCTAGAAGGACAGGAGTATTTGCCCATTGAATCAGAGCTGTATGCACCAGGGCTGCGTCTAGACTAGCAAGTTTTAGGAAACACTTTGCCAGCTGTCTACACTGGCCGCTTGAATTTCCGCAAGAACACTGACGATCTCATGTAAGAAATCAGCGCTTCTTGCAGAAATACTACGCTGCTCCCGCTCGGGCAAAAGTCCTTTTGCGCAAAAGGGCCAGTGTAGACAGCTCAGATTTGTTTTGTGCAAAAAAGCCCCGATTGCGAAAATGGCGATTGGGGCTTTTTTGCAGAAAAGCGCGTCGAGATTGGCCATGGATGCTAAATGGAAAAGCGTCCTGCCAATCTAGACGCTCTGTTCCACAAATGTTTTTAACGGAAACCTTTTCCATTAAAAGCATTTGCGGAAAATCCTGCCAGTCTAGACTTAGCCGCGGAAGAGTTCTTGTGCAAAAACTCTTCCAGAAGAGAGCATCTACACTGGCATATGCTTTTGCGCAAGAGCATCCATGCCAGTGTAGATGCTCTCTTGCACAAGAAAGCTCTGATGGCCATTTTAATCAGAGGGCTTTCTTGCGCAAGACATTCATGTTGCCTGTCTACATTGGCCTCTTGTGCAAGAATAGTTGCGCAAGAGTGCTTATTCCTGAGCCAGGAGCATCATAGTTCTTGCGTAAGAAGCCCTGATTTTATACAGTAGAATGTCAGCTTATTGCACAAGAACACATGGCCAGTGTAGAGAGGCAGCAAGTTTTTGCGCAAGAGTGGCTGCTTTTGCGCAAGATCGCGCCAGTGTAGACACAGCCCAGGGGTTATGTTAGTTTAAATGCATTGCTCAGGGAAGTGGGAATTTTTCCACTCCCCGGCTCCAAGCGACTTAGCTATGCCAACCTAAATTTCTTAGTGTAGACCAGTCCTTGATGTCTCATGCATCTTACCAATATGCAACATAGACCACATCTGACCTTGATCCCTGGACAAAGAGAACTGGTTAGTCAGTGAAGTCTGGATGGTACGCATTGCACCAGACACTTCAGTGCTGACATTGCTGTTTTTGTCTTCAGTTCTCTGGAGACGGTGGCTGGCTTGGACTGCAGTAGTGAACTTTTTACCATCTCAGTCAGTGGAATCCTATACTTGCAGGTAAACATGGGCAAATAAGTGAGACCAAGGGATGTTTCTTATGGGCAGACCCACCTCGTGCAGGATGCTACTGACATAAGAATGCAGCACAACTGGGCAGCTAACTTCCCACAACAATGAACTCTGCAGCTCTGCACAGCCAATGCGGACATCCCTGTTATTTTCAGCATGCTCGCTAGCTCAAAGCAAGTAGAATACCTACCCCCCTGCAATCACACCTCCAGTTGTGTTGCAGACATGCCCTAATTGAGCACAAGCATTCACAAGGGAAACAGGCGGCTATGTCCTTTTCCACAGAAAGTGCCATGCCTTGTGAGTGCTAATAGAACCAGCTGACAAAGAGGATGGTCACATGCTGTCTTTCCTCTGCAGCAGGGGGTTTGTTAGGTTTGAAAAGGAGAGATTATAGCAAAGCAACACAGATAAGTTTCTGCATATCACTAGGGCTACTCCTCTGTTACAGCATGGTTCTGGGCATTGTTCAAGTGGGGCTGGAGAATGTACAAGATACATAGCAGAACCCTCATTATAACCATCACTTTCCCACTTGGTAACATTCTGCTGGATAATTCTGAACCATCTTATTTTGGAGACTGGCTAAGCCTGCCTGAAACCAGAAGGTGCTATTGGCTCATAGCAACCTGTCCTGGCTGCTACACTGTCCCAAGTGAGCATAGCATTCTTCATGGAAGCCCTGCCCCCCAGCCACGCCATGCCACTCTAGGGCAGAACCCACGCTGGGTGTGATGGGAGAATACTTCCTCCCCTTTCAGCCTTTTTACAACCGCTTTGAAGCTGCCCTGTGCTAGACAGGGAATGTTTACATAGCACACCAAGTCCTGGGCTCTGACTCAGACTTAGGCCCCAGCCCATCATCATCTGGACCCAGGTTCTAAGACTTGCTAGAGCAGGGGCGGGCAATAATTCTCATAGGGGGACTGCTTAATGAATCTTGGTATGTGGTCATAGGCTGGCTCCACCCCCTGGAAGAGGCAGGGTCGGGGCAAAGCGGGGGACTAGCCTTTCCCCAGTTGTCTGGGGCCCAAGGCTTTGAAGTAAAAACACGGCAAAGGGATCACAACTCCCAGTCCTGCTGCTACCATGTTGCCTGGCAGCTGCCTAGGGTTGTTGCGGCTATTTAAAAGGTTCACGGCTCTGACACCTGCAGGGGTAGTGCTACCACTGGGAATCATGAGCCATTTAAATAGGATCTTGCTGCTTGAGCCGCTGCCTGGAAATTCAGTGGCACGGGCAGCAGGCTATAAAATAGGAAGCGACCCGCTGCAGTCTGTGGGCTGCATCAAAGTGTTAAGAGGACTGGATCTGGCCTGCAAACCGCATCTTGCCCAGCCCTGTGCTAGAGGGTGGATCAGTCCAAGTCGCGCTGCATCTCAGGTCACGCCCCAGACCTGCAACACGTGGTCTGCATTTGCAGTATAGCTGAGTCCAGTACTTGCAGGGCCGGCTTGAGCCACTCCCGCGTTCGGGCAGCGAGCATGCGATGCAGACGTGGCTCTGGCCCTGGGCGCACAGCACAGGCATGGCCCTACCCCCTGCCACGCTGCGCACCTTACTGCTGCAATCAGGTGCGTGTCACCTGAGGGCAGCTGTAAGGGGCACTGCGTGGCCTGCGGCACCCCTTACAGCTGCCATCAGGCACCCCCCCTAGATTGGTGCCCCGGGCAGCCGCCCGGCTAGCCCCCCCCCTTAATCCAGCCCTGACTACTTGTAGGCTCAGGCTTACAATGGTGAGTGACCACTCAACACAAGGCCGCTTGTCCAAGTCCCGCCCACTTGGACTTAGTGGTGCTGTGTGACCATCCCCCTAAGGCCTGGAATGAGGGATCAAAATGGCCTATGTTTGACATGAAAACATGACTTGAACTAGCTCAGCACAGCCTACATAGCTATTGCTCTGTAGACCTGATGCATTTACATAACACCCCTCTGTACTTGTGGCAGCAAGCTGGGCCTATTTTCACAGTCACTCATTTCTCCCTTTCAGGCTGGCCAGTATGCCTCAGTTTTTGTAGACAACGCCACAGGATCATCCCTCAGTGTTCAAAGTGGCTCGGATTTCAGTGCTGTTCTTCTGGGGGGGGGAATGCTTTGAAAAGGGCCCAAGCATACTGAGATCTGTTTCTACTACAAAAACAAGTCACCACCCTTTGCATAAGATCTCAAGCATCCAAAGACAGAGAGATGGAAAGAAAATTGGAAGCATGAAAAGAGAAAAGGACTCACTAAATCCACTTCACTTGAATTTATGACCAGATTTTGAGGCTTATTTTATATGGACAATTCAAACATGTCTGACTTCCCAAGCATACTGAGATCTGTTTCTACTACAAAAACAAGTCACCACCCTTTGCATAAGATCTCAAGCATCCAAAGACAGAGAGATGGAAAGAAAATTGGAAGCATGAAAAGAGAAAAGGACTCACTAAATCCACTTCACTTGAATTTATGACCAGATTTTGAGGCTTATTTTATATGGACAATTCAAACATGTCTGACTTCCAAAGCTAGACCAACTTTTATAAAGGAACTGCCTCCCCCACCCCCCGAGTACATCTACACAGCAACATTATTTTGAAATAACTTAGTCTGCATCTACACAGCAAGCAGTTACTTTGAAATACTGTCAGGCCGAAGGACTTCTTACTCTGACTCCTGTAACCTTCATTGCACGAGGAATAAGGGAAGTCGGAGGAAGAGTGCTATTTTTCAAAGTAAGTGCTGGCTAGACGCTGCCAATTTTAAAATAAGCTATTTTGAAATAATTCGAAATAAGCTCTACAAATTGAGCTACATGAATTGCGTAGCTTAAGCCCGGCTGTGTAGATCCGCCCACACACGCACGGAGCATGAATGCTTAGGAAATGGTATTGAAAACGCCGTCAGTCATAAACTAGCTCTTTGGCATTTTCTATTCAATTTTTCAGCAGCCAACGCAAGATTACATATAGTGCTCTAGCTTTCTTGTAGCTTATCAGTTAAGGTTTGTCATCAGCAGACACTGGTATTTGGAAGTTAATTTTCAAAGTAGGGCAGTGTCCTGATAAGGCAGCAAACTAGCTAGAACATGAATTGCTATCCAACGATTTCCCACTTCCTAGGAACAGTGGCCTCACACCACCACCCATTTTCTGCCCATGGCACAAAGCCCAGTCAATGGGTGGTAGAGATACTCACCGTTATGCCTGGTTTTAGCCCTGATAACTCTAACTCTGATTAACCCAGTGAGACTATGTGCATAAATAAGAGCTGCAGAAAGGGACCCTAAATTAATAATAAAAGCAGGTAGAGAAAAAGATGCAGTCTCATTTCTTAATATCATATACTTAATTCCTTAGCTCCTGACTTTACAGATATCCTAGAGCTCCACTTTCATGATAGCAGAACTCTTAGTAAGTAGACACAGGTCTCAGCTCTCTCCAAATTATAGTTTTTCCACACAAAAAAGCATTCTCAGTCTGCTGGAGGAAATGCGTTCGCAGCACACTCTTCTCAGGAAACAAAGTTAACTTGGGGTAGAACATTTGCTGTGGGCAGCACTTCTACAAAATCTTTCAGGAAAAACCAACACAAGTTGTCTTTACATAAAATGCTAGTACGCTCTTGCATAATTCACTGGTACCTCTCTACTGCAAGGGAAGTCTAGCAACATGGCTGTAGCTGGCTCGGCTCAGCAGAGAAGGCTCAGGCTAGGGAGCTGAAACCTGGAGTGCAGACATGCAGGCTTGTACTGAAACCTCATGAGAGGAAGGTCTCCAAGACAAGGCTTCAGCTTGAGCATCAACATCTATGCTGCAGGTTTTAGCCCCACAGCCCAAGTCAAATGGCCTGGGTTTTTCACTGCAGTGTAGCCATATCCTGTTGTCTTAGAAAAGCTTTTCAGGACTTGTCATTTGGGGCCCTGGTAATATACAAAGTAGAAAATAAATCCCATGTTAAAAAACAGTTGCAGCCAGTTCCGTTTATGGTTTGTAGCAACTTATGCCAAATTTCTGCAGTTTTTACTCTAGTTCACCTCTCTCTGGGTATGTCTACACTACAGCGCTATTTCAAATTACCTTAATTCGAAACAGTTCATTCGAATTAACGCATCTACACACAAAATCTATTTCGAAATAGCGTGTCCACACTGAGTGGACCCTGAACCGAAGTTAAGGCTGGCCGGAACCAGTGCCGGCAGGACATCAGGTTAGGTCTTAGTGTGTGGGGCTGCTGCCTGAGGCTAACTGAGCTCCGTGCTTAAAGGGACCCGACCACCACCCCAGACAGACAGTTCTCAGGCTTCCCCGCTTGTCTACCTTGATGAGGGACAGCAAAGCAGTCCTGTCTTGGAGTGCCCGCACTCGGGACACCACAGCACTCGGCCACATGGAGCCAGAACTGGCCCTGGGCATGCCGGTGCATCTCATGAGGTCACTGCCATCAGCCTGGCTGCACTTGCTGCAGGCTGCCATCCGGGGCGGGGGGGGTGTCCATCGGGGGGCTGTCAGAATCCAGGAGGCCCGCAGGGGGAGAGCAACCACCCTGAGGAGCCCTCAGAGCCACCCCAGTCCTCCCCACCGGGGGCTCATGCTCCATTCCTCCCTCTCGTCCTTCCACTTACCTCTCCCTAGCCCCCATTCCTGATGTCAAACAAAAGACACACGTTCGAAAACAGAAACTGGGTTTATTGAACAAAACTGGGGGAGTGGGGATGAACCTCTGAAGAGACTGGGAAAAGGAGGTGGGAGAGGGGAAGAGAGGGGAGGGGGGAGCTGGAAAGGGGAAGCAAGGGGAAGGAGAAGATGGGGAAGCTCAGGGCCCAGGTTGGGGGTCTCACCAGACCAACTTGATTTTCATGCAAACCTGCTCCTGGGCTCGCATGTGGACTTTGGTGGCCAGGCTGGCAGGCATCCTGCCC